ATCTTAATTCATTGCAACGTCGAATCTTATTTAAATCGAACTCAAAATGTTTGTTTTTAAAAAGATTTGAAATCATGAACCTTTCCATAAATTTAAGTTATACGATTATCATATTAATTAATGCCAAATTTCAGTACTGTGTGCCAAACTACTATTGAAGTTGTATGGCAGCTACCAGAAAGAGCCAAGCAATTTTAATTAATTTTATCAAACACATCGGCTCTACTACTCGTAATATATTCGTTTGTGTGAAATTTCAATACCATAGCTTTTATAGTTTCTGAGATATAGCTTAATAAATTTCGAAGTTGTATGGCAGCTACCCGAACCAGTACCCCGATTATGTCCGATTTAAATAGGATTATGACACTTACTACAATAAATCATTTGTGAAAATTTGGTGAACTTAGCTCAATTAGTTTTTGAGTTATCGCTGGGACGGACGGACAGACTAAATCGACTTATAGAATTCGATGCTGATTAAAAACATACAGTTGATTCTATATCTCTGACCATTATTTTTTAGCTTTACAAACGGTAAGGCAAATTTAGTATACCCTTCGAACATACATTCGTACGGGTATATACATATATTTTCATTATGCGAACTTCACTGAATATGCCATTTACGTTTCTTTACGAAACGCTTTAATATTGCATATATTTAGGCGTTATTTATGTTTTCTATGGTAAAAATTAAATACATTCGTATCTACAAAAAATCACCAGAATTTCATCTTGTCAATCGATTAGAATTTCATCTTGTAGTTTAACTACCAAGTATTATTTAAATTCATGCATAATATTAAATACTTTCTTGTAATATACCAGAGTAATAATAATAATAAAATCTATACTATGATAAAATTTACAAATGCTTTATGTAGATGTTGCATATTATTATGACATTGAATTTTTCATTTCCAGTAATTTTCAATAATATATAAAGATATGGTTCAGGGGTCAGCCTCATCACACTAAAATCAAAGATAATTATCCATATATTCTTTGACTAATCACTAAAATGAATTTACTAAAAAGTTGCAAAAGAGTTTTGATTTCTCTAATATTTTCTATTATCACTTTTTGTTAAAGCTTGAAAAGCGTTCAATTAAATCAGAATTTATATGTTTTTAAGACAATTAAGACAATTTTTTTAAGACAAATAATAAAATATTGTGTACACGTAAAGGATTCTTAAAACGAACTAGTTATATAGTGCTTTAACAAGGGCATCAAAATAATCATATTCTCGCGGTCAGAGCGGAACTGATGTAGAATATTGCTTAAAAAATTTTCCTGAGAAATGAAATGGACATAGGATAGTTCTGTTGTAAACAGGTGAACTGTTTTTTTTTTTTTGTTTAATAGGCACTTACGTACATATATGCATTTCGAAATAAGCTTTCTATTCAAAAAATAAGCTTTCTATTCAAATTTTCGTTTGCATTATTTTTTTTGCTGTTATAAATTTAAAAAAAAATAATTGCATTAAAATTTTATACATACTCGTACAAGTGTAAAATTTTTTAAAACATTCCGAAAAATTGCGAGAATTTTAACATTAATCGTCCTTCAATGATTATTATCTGGTTAATTACTGCATTTTGGGTACTAATGTTGTTTTTTGGGTAGTTATTTAAAATCAATTACAATTTTAACTGAAATTGTATATTATATGACAGTTATCAAACAAAAACAAAAATTTACAAAACTCATTTTATTTCATTTAATTTTTATTTTGTCTTGTTTACAGTTCTTGTGATGATGGCATTATCATCAGCCACTCCAGGAAAATCAAAGAAAACACCATGCGGTTCCGATTGTTTAAATGATTATTCAGAAAGCGCAAGAATATGTGCCGTTGAAAATGGAAAACCACTTTTATTTTCCAATAAATGCGTTTTTGACAAATTCAATTGCGAACATCCAGATAGAAGTAATTTTTTATTTTTAAGTAATTTTTAAATTTATTTTAATAAATTTTTTTTAAATTTTTTAGAATATGTTCAAAGCGATATGTCAAAATGCCCAACTGGTACAAGTGAACGTTTGAATTAAATACATGAAAATAAAAAAAAATTAATAATAAAAAAAAATATAAAAAAAAAATTTTTTTTTTTTCGTTTTAAATAAAATTTGAAGTGTTGATTATAATTTTATCACAATTATAAATATTTTATTCTTTAATCAAAAATTATATAATTATTATTATTATATACGTAAAATGTTGAAATGTTATTAAAACGTAAAACATTTATATATTATATTTTATTCTTTTCAAATTATATTACATACCCAATTATATATAATCTTATTTACTAACCAACACACTATGGTGTGAAAAAAAATATTAAAATTTATTTTACATATTCATTATTTTTTATTTTTGTTTTTTTGCTAACCCAAATATAATTATATATATACATATATGTTAATCAAATCAAATTATATAAAATTTTTTTTTTTTTTATATATTATGCCAACGATATATGAAAAATAAAAACACATTTAAAATAAATTAAAATTACTTACGGAATATTTTAAAATTTATAATTACAATTAATGAATTTTTTGAAATTTGCTAAAACAAAAAACTAAAAAAAAAAATACAAAAAAAAAATAAAAAATAAAATTAAAAAATTAAAAAAAAAAAAAGGATAAAACACCATCTTAACAATTATTTTATTATTTTATCATAATTACAAATACAATATTATTTGAAAAATATTATTTTATGCATGTTATATAACTACAAAAATATTAATTACTTTGAGAATTTGTCTTAATTTACATCAATTTAAAAAAAGAAAAGCAATGGTTTTAACCAAAGCAAAGAATTCCAATTTAAAGCTCCCTAGTAATTTAAACATATTATTCATTTAAATTTTAAAATAAATTTTTACAATCCAAAAATGTTGAATAAATGACATACATATTATTATTATTACTATATAAAATATTTATTTAATAATAAATATTTATAATTTATCCATGGAAGGCATAAAAGTTAGAAATATTTTGTAGAGCAAAAATGTAGTCGAAAGTAGCAAAAAATATAATATAAAAAAAAAGTATGTATATTTGAAATCATTATAAATACAAAATATACATACAAAAACATATAAAGCAATTGTAATGGTTTTAAAAAAAAATAATAAAATAAAAGTTTTATTTCTTTTTGGTTTCGCACGCGGACAAAAGAAATAAATTTTTTGTGTTTTATTTAAAATTTTTATTATTAGTCTTAAGAATATAGTTTTTTTTTTTCTTTGTAGATTAAAGAAGTATACATACATGAATTTATTATGTACTCACCTAAGATCTAACATTTTCTGTTGATAATTCCAAAAATTTTTGTTGAAAATTTATCAAAAGGTCAAAATATTTTACTTGAAGTTTAAATATTTGCATTTTATATAAGATGATAACGATTTTGAGTTTATTTTCAACATTATATTTTTAAATGAAAATATTTTTAAGCAACATTTATGTCTATACTAATATAATATAAAATAATATATTTTATATTAGATTTTCGGGGAAATTAAATTAACCGATAGAAATTCATTGGATTTGCAAAATATTTCTGTTTTGTGCAAAAGCACCATTCATGTAGCATGAAAATTGTTGCTAGATTAATTATTGTAACCGCACATTTGCTGCAACAATGATTTAATTAAAAAAATACGATTTATGACCTATTTATACAGAGATAATCGCTTAAATCATTTCTGTTTTGTGCAAAATCAACATTTATCTAGCATGAACATTGTTGCTTATTATATAATATAAAATAATGCTGTATCGAGAAAAATATATTAAATCTAATAGTTAAAAAATTTGTTTTCTCAAATGTCCAAATTTTGAGTTGTATCAGTATTACCGAAAAAAATGTTAAAATCTTATAATTTCAAGTGATTGAGAGAAGAAGAATCAAAATATCCTCCAAATATTCCTAAAATTTCCTAAAATAATATAATAATAAATATAATAATAAGTAATGTAACAAATAAGATAATATCAATTAATGATATTTAATATTATGCTTTAAAAAAAAAAATAGAAAGAAGGATTCGTAGACATACTTTTTATAGGCATTAAAGTTTTTATTAAATATTTGTAAACATAATAAAAGCATCTACATACATAATGCAAAATCTGAATTTTTTCAAAATATTGAGTAGAGTATTTGTCGATCTCCTTGGTGTAAATGTAATGGAAAGTTTCAAATTGTAGTCCTTTAAAGTTTAAGTTTGATTGCTTAGCTTAATGCTAAATGGTGTAGATATTTTTGGAAGGCTGATTTCCTACAATCAATTTTTTAAATAATTTTTAATGCAAATATTTGCATTATAATCACTTTTTCACATTAGAAATAACATTTAATATTTTATCTCAATAATACATACAGATGCATGTATTTTTTGAAGTCTTTGCAAGTCGGGATGATTATACCCATGTTTGGCTCCACAAAAGCAATTATGATACTAAAATATTTATAGCTGCTTAGTTGCGTATAAATATGATCATTTTATTTATTATCAATATTTCATACATACTTACGTATTTATAAATAAAAATGTTATTAGGGATTAAGTTATTTACATATATTTACATTTGGGATTTAATATTACATGAATGTTTTCTATAATTAAAGCAAAACAAATAAAAAATAATAATAACGTTATTTTAAATACTTTTAAATGCAATACTGCCTATAAAATTGATTGTTTTGGATATTTGTAAAATTTAACTTTTCTTAATTTTGCATAGTTTTTGGAGGTTTAATGGTTTACCATTTGTTCTATTTTGTTCTAATCTTATCTAAAATATTTAAATAGTTATAATCAAAAAAATGAATATGTAGCTATACATATTTAAATGAAATAGTAAACAAATAATTTTTGATTATGAATTGTTCTTCACACATCCTTACATAAATATGTAGATATGATTCTCTTAATGTATCAAATAGGCCAATGAATTCAAATTCAAAATGCAATTTTTTAAGATTTTATTTGACTTTAATATAGATAGTTTACTGTTACATATTTTAATTTATATCATTTAACAATTTAATTTTTTTAGTGGATACTACAAATTTAGTTTAAATATCATATATTTTTTCTCTTCCTTTGTTTAATCTTTTCAAAATTAAATTCAATAAAAATTATTTCCCTCCCATTCTAAAAATTCTTAAAGAAACAACGAAACTTAGTTTGTATATTACTTAATGAAATTATTTTTAGTTTTGTTGTTCTTGCTTAACTTTGTAGTCTGCTAAAGCAGCTTTAATTGCATCTTCAGCTAACATAGAGCAATGTAATTTCACTGGGGGTAACTTCAATTCCTTTGCAATATCAGTATTTTTCAAAGTGCCAGCCTCGTCAATAGTTTTTCCTTTTACCCATTCAGTAGCCAAAGAGCTAGAAGCAATAGCTGAGCCACATCCAAATGTTTTAAATTTCGCATCAATTATTTTTCCATTTTCATCAACTTTAATTTGTAATTTCATGACATCACCACAAGCCGGTGCTCCAACTAAACCAGTACCAACGCTTTTATCTTTTTTGTCCAATGAACCAACATTCCGGGGGTTCTCGTAATGATCAACAACCTAAAATTTATTTCAAAATAAACATTATGTACATAAATAACATATTTCATAAGAATTATTTTTAGTGGATTATATTTTGTTTTTATATTTATACACACTACGTATTAGATTATAATTTATACTGTGACACATGCATACATATATTATGTTCTACTCATCTATATATCCTATATATGCAAATTTGATAGAATGTTCAATTTCATTATGAGACGCAATAAACTATTTTTTATTAATTTACCTTTTCATGATATAATGCAGCCGGTACACTTTGTGTACGTTTCAATTGGCTTTGGAATAATCTTGTTACACGTGTTAAAGACATCTTTATTTTTCCTCTCCAAATCTATTTCAAATTTTAAAAAAAAATTATAAATTGAAAAAAATCTGGATTTATAGAAAAATTATTCTTACCTTACTTCGCCGAAATATACTCGACAATAACAAAACCAGCTGATAAATGGCATTACCAAGGCCTTTTTGAATGTCATTCATATGATACTTGTAAGTAAATCGATACTCGATATGAAGTGACATCTGTGATCAATGAAGAGAGTTTATTTTATGTCATTTTAAATTTTTTATCGTACGTGTACAATATTAAAAACATATGTTTGTTTGGAGAGTACGGGAGAAAAATGTTGTTTATGTTTTCATCTGTCTCAGAAAGCCGTATACAGAATAAATTCGCAAAAACACGTCAGTGATAACAGCAAAAAAGTTCATATTAAAGTAAAAGATTGCAATTTCAACCATTTAAATATAATTTTTTGATTGTAAAAAATGAATAAAGTTGTATTTATATTAGTTATTCTGTCATTTTGCCGGAGTTCAATCTCAGATGAGGTTACAGTGCAAGTTGATAGTCATTCTTCAGAAAATGATACATTTGTGCCAACAAAAGATTGGCAAGTTATCAAAGAAGGTATGAAATTAATAATTTATTCATGATATAAGTAGATTAAAATCTTTCCTTATGAAATTGGTCATAATTATTTTAAAAAAATATTTTTTAGGCCAATCTATACCTGCAGGATTACATGTAAGACTCAACTTAGAAACAGGAGTCAGGGAAGCGAAACTGCTAGATGATAGCGAAATCGAAAATGAGGAGAAAAAAAATACTGAACTCAATATTGTGCCAGATGACAGCCAAAATAAATCAGAAGAAGAAGAAGATCCTATAACAATAAGTAAATATTTGGAAGATGCTATTAAACAAGCAAATGAAAGTCCAGAACAAATTGAATATATATCGCAAGAAACAGAGGAACGCATCAAAAAAACTTATAAGGATTATAAACAACTTAAAAAAGACTATGCCGAAATGAAATCAAGTTTTAAAACAGAAATGGAATTTATTACAGAACTTCTCGAAGAATTTAATAATACAAAAGATAAAGAATACCTATCTTCTAATATAATAAGTTTATTACAAGATTTTAATTATTTAGTTGATCAAATTGATAATGCAGTATGGTTTATTGATTCAGGTGGTTTAAATAATGTTATTTTACCAATGGTCGTTAATCAAACATATTTACCATACAGAGTTGCCTCTTTAAGGTTGTTAGGTACTCTAACACAAAATAATCCAAAAGCTCAAATTAAAGTCTATGAAAATAATTTCGGTTCTTATATAGTTAACGTTCTTTTACAATCAAGTGATTCAGATGAATTATCAACTGCAGTATATGCATTTGGAAGTTTATTAAGAAAATTTCCTTTAGCACAAAAAGAAATATTATCGCAGTCTGGAACTAAAGCTTTAATATCACTGTTACAAAAAGATATTGATTTAAAAATTAAGTCTAAAGTTTTAACACTAATTGGCGATTTATTAGTAGACAAAGAAAATGTTCTTCAATTAAATGAATCCAATTCAATAGATTTAGATAAAATAAATCAATATGCTGAAGTTAATTTATTACAATGGTTAAACGATAATGAATATTGTTTAACAATAACTGAATTCATCAATAAAAGTTATTTAGAAATTATAAGAAAACCAGATATCGCTGAGGATTTAATTGATGGAATGAATTATACAAGTAGCTTGTGCCAAAAATTATGGTCAGAAAATTATAATTTTATGAAAATTTTAAAAAATATTGAAATAAACTTTTTAAATTCCGGTGAAGAATATCAAGTTGAAGTTGGAGAAAAAATAGAAAATTTAATTTCAAATATAGGTGGTAAATATGAAACATATAAAAAAAAAGATGAATTATAAAATATTAAAGAAAAAATGTATACTCGAAAGAAATTTTTAGTAATATTAATTTGACTGTAAAGGAAAAAAATATTAAATGAAAGACTCGTTTTAGAATAATTAAATTATTATTTATTAAGAATTAAAAATTTGTTGAAAAAAGTTTTATTATAACTTGTTTTTGTTTTATTATAAAAAATTTATTTTATAAGTTATTTATTTAAATATTCCTTAAATGAAACCATTCCATAGGGTTTTTTTTTAGATGGAATTAATTAAATGTAGAATTTTAAATGTTAACGCCAAAATAAGAACGTTAAAATTGGCGCAAATTATATACATATTTTTTTTAAATTTAATATTTTATTGAGTTAAACTTTCATAAATCATTAATTTTACTTTATTTTTTTTGTATAATAAAAATCCTATTGTTTGAACTCTTTTGTCTGATATTCAACAATTGAAATATTACCTATGTTTGTACATAATAATATGTAAGATTCCAATATCAAAATCAGTTCGTAGAGGTGACAAAGAAATATTAATAAATTGCAAAGTTCAAAAAGAACAATGTACACAATAATATAAAATTGCATAAAATTGGTTATCCGAAATGACCATTAAAGACCTTTACATATTTATAAATATATACATATTTATAAATAAGTATGTACATATATATGTTTTCTATTAATATTCTTGCCCTTCATAATTTTAAAATTTTAATTTTTTTCACTTTTTGACCCCTAGTTTCCTTCTAAATTAAATACTTTCGTGTTTTTTTGTTTTATTTCAATGCTGTGATGATTGCGTGCGAAAATATCCTTTTTTTCATGTCAACATCATATTAACATTTATATATTCATGCTATGTATATAGAGTGTCTAGTAAAAAGAGGAGTCTTTTAGTTTCCGAAAACTAGTTATTAAGAAATATTCGAATGATTTACTGAGTTACAAATTTTTAACTACATTAAAATGGTTGAAGATTACGTAGGTTAACGATTTTACTGTAATAAAGCACACTAGTTATATAGAGTGTGTTTGAATTAAATTTAAATTTAACTCTATTAAAAATTATTTCTAATAACGAATTTTGGTATGGATTTCAGTTGTAAATGATTTCAAAGCTTATCGAGAGCTTCTTCAAAATATTTTAATTACAATTCGTGATAAAACCCCATTATAATTAATATAATGTGCGAAATATTAAAAATATGGCTAAAAAATAATTCAAAGTTGAATTAAAATTTTTTTATATACAAATTTGGATACTACTCTTTGAAAGTGGGATTTACTACCCTTTGAAAGTGAAGTTTGTAGGATATCTACTTTCAATTCCAATATTTTAATAACTACTAATCGCTTTTGCTAAATATAACAAATTTAGCGAAACCTAAATGTTCCTGAAGTAAGTGATTATATAATTATATAATGATGCTTCAATTTGTTACCTAGCTTGAATAAGGGCAAGGACATTCAACTGAAGTGCCTTCGAATAAGTGATTTAAATTTCTGAGTTTGAACAATAATTTTTATCTAAAGTTGAAATTTGTGATTTTTTTTTGCATTATACTTATATATATATACAAGAACATACACACATAATGGTGCAAAATATTAATTTAGAAAGTTTATTTAATCTTTCCATCAGACCTATTACGATTTTTTTTGAATTTTCTTCTAATTTTCATTTTTAAAATTCTTGATCTATTTATTATTAAAATAGAAAACTATAAATTTTAAAGCGCCGGACATATACAAGAGCATATACAGTATGTAAAATGTGTGTTTGTGAATGTACATATGTATGTACCTACGAATGTACATATTTTCTTATGAAACCTCATCCGATATGAGAAAACTGAATTAAAATTAACGCACAAGCTTGCTAAAATTTTTACAGAACTACATAGATAAAAAAAAATTTCAAATAAATTTCTATTGAACCGAAACAATTTAAATTCAAAAAATAAAAAAAAATAAAAAAAACGAGAGCAAAAAATTGGAAAATAATTTAACTTCCTTTTAAAATTTTCTTATATGTGACCTTTCAACCCCTAGATTTTTCTTTTTCAAACTATAATGAATGTGAAGTAATAATTTATCAAAACCAAAAAAAGAAAAGAAAAAAGTGTTATGGATTTTAGCACAATTAAAATTTGGCGACCCTTTTTTTTCGAAAAAAAAAATTACAATTATTTTAGCGTTATTTAAAATTTTTGAACTTTGTGCGTAAATTATTGTTAAAGCGATGAAAATGTCTCATTTTCTCTTATTATTTTCAGTGCCCTTTTTACGCCATTGTTGACATTTGACCAATGGTCATACAATATTATTATTTTATTTTATGGAAAAAAAATAATAAATTTGTACACATGCATATATGTACATACATATCTACTTACATTTTAATGTCAATTCACACATGCAATCTTTTGGAAACCGTAAATAGTAATTATTTTTTTTTCCTTTTTGTGAATAAAAAAATTTGAACCAAAGGGATATTGTGTAATAATATCCTTTTTTAAATCTTTTATATATTTTGAGCGCATTTTTAAAAATTTATAAACATAGAATTTAACTACAATAGTATATATAACAAAAACGTGTATAATATATGTACATGCATGTAAACATATAGATCTATGAGTATTTGGCAATCATGGTCATCGGGGGTAACAACTAAGCAACTATAAACTCTAAAACTTGATTAAATATTTTATTGAAAGACTCTTTTTTGTTATAAAATTATAATCAGTTTTACCGACTAATTTTCATTTTCTTCATAATTTATTAAAATTTCAAATTTTATATGATCTAATAAAGGCGATTTAATAGTACAAATAATATATTCCTATTTTGTAGTATTTAGATCGACGATTTGGGACCCAATTTCACAGAGTCTTTTGTATTTAATATCATTTATTAAAAATTTAATTACCTATGATAGTCTAGCTAAGTTATTTAATAATTGAAAATAGTTTATATTAATCCATTATTAGGAGCATAATATCCTAGTTTGACAAAGTCATTATATTTGTAAATTTGTATAAAATGTGGAAATTCGAAAAACCCTCTTCCATAGTACACAAATATGCCTTTAATAGTAAATACACTGCTCCCATTTATTACCACCTATTTACTGCAGCAAGATTACTGCTTTAATGTGAATTCGTAAAATTTATTTTTATATTGTGATTTCAATCGTTTTATTTCACAAATATTTGCCAAAAATTTATCTGCCTAACAATAATTAAGGAATCTTAAATATCCTGCATAGATTTTTGGAAAATTTAGCATCATCTAATCCGTTAGTATAGAGTACTGTTCCGGTTAAGCCTATTACTTCAATTACATTTATGTATGCGTAAATAAACATCTTACATATACACATACATATATATACATACATATCTATCTACTTTTTCTAAAAATTTGGTTTTTAGCAAAAATATATGTAAAATTTAATTTTATTTAACAAAACAAAATAAAAAAAAAACTGCATAAAAACTGAAGTCCTCATTTGTTATGGGAATTGACCCGCATCTGTTCTTATCCCCCTGACCTTTAAATTAACATCGATATACTTTTTAATGCAAAATTTTTAAAATCAAAAATTTACAAGAATACTTACATACTTACAATATAAATTTATGCATTTGCTTGTGTATTTTAAATAAAAATTATTTATTGCATAAAGAATGGGTAAAAATATCCGTTATATTTTATTATAATATGCAACACACATAGATTAGGATTTGAAATCCTTTATTAAAAAAAAATTAAACGTTTTTGTTCCAAATTACTCGCTTACAATAAATTGCTGTAAAAATTTATTTTTATTTCACACTTTTAAACAATGGATGGCTTAGTTTTCATTTAAATTCTCAGGGATTTTTATTAACTATTCTAAGGTTTTTTTTTCTTTTTTTTTGTTGAATTTGTTTAAACAATTTCTATTATATAAAATGCTATGTACATATATAAAAAAATTGTATGCCATATAAATAATATTAAATTGTGATTGGTCTGCAAAATTTTTAAGTTTTGACCAAAGCAAAATACCATTTTTTTTATATTTTAGATGCGACAAAATCAAAATCTTATAATACAAATGGTGGAAAAAATGTAAAAAAAACATCAAAAACTTCATAGAAAACTTCTTCATGTCTGAATTTTAGTAAGACCAACATAAAAGTCTTGTGGAAAAGAAATTGTTATAAGCTTCAATAAAAAGATAACGGCGTTTATAGGTCCAAAGTAAAGATTTCTTAAAATGTAAATGAATATTTTAAAATTTATGAAGATAAAATATATTGGGAAATAATGTTTTATATTTATTTTGGTTGTGATTTACAGCCTAACTCTTGCTTTTTCAAATGTCATCTTCGGCGCTTTCTCTCAAAATATCAACTGAATCAATCACATTCAAAAGGAAAGTGAATGAATTTAACAAAAAACCAGATACGCCATACAAAAACACTCACAAATTTTCAAAATTTTTTTTTTCTCCTTTCTATTCCCTTAGGAAACATAGGGCTTCCACATATCCTCGCCAATTCTCTCTGTCTTGCGCCATTCTTTTTACTTCGGACCATGTTTTGCCGCTCCGCTCACATTCTGCCCTAACTGTTCTTCTCCACGTTATTCTTGGTCTCCCCACATTTCTCCACCCTTGGGGACTCCATTCTAGGGTCTGGCGCGCCAGTGATGTTGTTGGCCCCCATCAGTTGCTAGCACACTACCCAAGTACTCAAATTCTGCTGTCTCCTCAATCTGGGTATTTTGTAAGTACATTGGTACCTGGCTTGTAGAGTTTATTCTCATAAATCCCGCTAAGCATTTGGTCTTAGCGGGATTTATGCGTAGACCCAAAGCTTCGGTCCTTTCTCTCAGCTCGTTGATGGTTGTTTGCATTTCTTCTGCTGAGTGGCTCAATATGACTATGTCATCTGCATACTCCATAGTCTGGAGTTTCTGCGAAAGCTAATTTTC